TAATCTTCCTCCACAGATTCAAGCAGATTAACTTCTTTTTTTTGTGTGCCAATTGAACAATTCTTTCCCCGAAATGACTATGTTGCCCTCCATCTGCTCACCCCCGATATTACCTGCTTCCAGAATTACAGAGTGAGGAGGCTGATATGGAATATTATAAGAGTGCGTTTGGATACAATGATTTGGATTTGGTATTTGTGATTTGGATTTCCAAATACCAAATCATGTGTTTGGATATTAATTACATTTGGTATTTGGATTTGTGTCAAATTCATGGGGTGATTTCCAAATACACGTCTAATGTATTTTTTGTCAACTTCAAATACATTTCAACAACTAGTGATTTGAAATACCTCCTAACAAAAGAATGGACCTATTCGTAAAATATGAAAAGTTTAGGTACTATAGTGTGAGGCAAAACATATAAAGGTACCAAAATGTAATTTTACCATCAAAATTTCAGGACCTTTTTGTAAAATTTTAAAAGTTTAGGTACTAAATTGTAAGAAAAAATAATTTTGGGTACCAAACTGTAATTTACCAAAATCTGTAGTAAGTGACCAGAAAATTAAAAATTGAAATTGAAAATCATAAAATACAAACAAATTACAAATGAGTATCCAAACAATGAATTTGAATTACATGTATTTCAAATGCTAATATTTCGAATACATCCATTTCAAATGCTAATATTTCAAATACCTTACATTTAAAATCCACTTATCCAAACACACCCTAAGTGAAATTTGGAGAGAGCGTTGGAGGAAGATTTATGGGAAGAAAAGGCTGGGAATCTCAGATTTGATTATGAGTACTAAAGAAGTAATGGAACTGGGGGAAGTATAACTATTAACTGACATTAATTTTGGACGATTTTTAGTGGACACCCAGTATGGTACTCAATAAATGTAATATAGATAACAAGGGATCAGAAAATGGGAAAGTAAATCAGAAGAACTCTGTGTTTTTAGTGCTTGATAATATACCGTAAGTGAACCATCAAAAAATATATATATATATATATATATATATATATATATATATATATATACCGTAAGTGAAAGTGTATAGATGGTGGATAATGTACATATTGTAAATATTGATTTTATTCGATGAAACAAAATCAACTTATTCATTATAAAGATAACTAATATACGAAGAGATAACAATCGTGGGATATCTATGACAAAAAAAAAAATAACAACCGTTTTGGACTTTTGCATTTGTGGTTTTGCTTAAGAGAGTGTCATACAACGGCGGATCTAGGGGGGCCGTCCCCGGGCCACGGCCCAGCCCTCTCCTGAATCCGGAGCTAGTATGGTCCTTGTAAATTTTCGATTTTAGGTATATGTTTATGTTCTCGTCGGGTTACGGCCCAATCTTCTTTGTCTCTTTTTAAATGTGGCCCAGTGCTCTACCATATCCTGGATCAGCCGCTGGTGTCATATATGATCATGAACTTAATTCATTCGTCCAGCTGTACATGTAGCTAGCTCGCAACTTCTTATTCTGATCCCCCAGCTGGCGAAAGTCGTCGATCACTCATCAGTCATCACGCTCCATCCGTTCCATACATGAATTTTTGTAATAATAACCGATCCACAACGCCTATGACAGCCCCTCATTATATGTATCCAAAAGAGATTGTGTGAAAAACTCAAACTCTTTCTTCTTGTCGATATGACCATTTTGTGATCAAATTCTGTACAATAGTCTACGAGTTACAGTCAGATCGTATAGGAGTGTGCAATGGTTTGATCTGACAATCATATGATCCAATAACAAAAGATATTTTAGGATCAAGAATCGGATCAACGCTGCATCTGGTCTAGTTTGTCCTAGTCCAAATGTCATTTTGGTCCATTTTTCAGCATTTATAAAATTCATGGGATCACGTACTCAACTACATTTTTTATTCGATTTGCTATCAGTGGCGGAGCCACCTTATAGCCAGGAGGGGCTATAACACCCCCCACCCTTCAACTCTCAAAATCGTGTAAATCTACGTGTAAATTTTGTAACAAACTTGGAAAATAGATTAGGTTTTAAGGCTTTAGCCCCGCCCTCTCCGGCTCAAACATCTTGAACGCAAATTTTAGCCCCCCTCTCGTTCAGATTTCTGGCTCCTCCACTGTTTGCTATGATCTGATCCAAGCGTCGGTTTGGTCTGGTGCCGTCCAATACAGACCAAACCGTTGCACACCCATAATTGTCGTTATAGAAGTTAAAATAGCGCTTATGAGATATGCAAATTAAGTTATCTATGCTAGTTAAATCATCATTTATCGTAACGAAACTTGAAGAAGATTGGTAAGAATTTATTTTAATTTTCTCCTAAACTAAATTTGTTCTCCTAGAAGAAAAAAAGTAGTAGAATGCGATTTGTTCTTTCATTATGTTCCACAAAAATTAAAAAGTATATTACAATTCACATGCATGAATTATGCGAGCTTTGAACAGTTAAATATTGTACTTGTCGGGTGTTGGTTGGGATTTAAGGCTGTGTTTGACCATTGAGTCAGCATTCGGCTAGACGTGATCCGATATTAAACCAAGATAAGGATGGTTCCAGTAAGGTGAAAGTGGTTACTAAAACATATCACTAACCAAATATTTATGATTCCATGCATGCGCAGCCAAACTATGTGGTGGCAAATAGTGTATGGATGGGGTTGACTGATCAGTGCAGTCGACTAAACTACGAAGTCGGTCTCGTATTATCAGCCACTAATTACAGGGGGAAAAAAAGAATATAGCTGTACAGTCGGCAGCCTCAACAAACACAGAGGAGCAAAAAATGGTTTGTATACTTGTATTATTGTTTGATAAAGAATTTCAATCCATCTTTTCTTTACTCTTTTTGTCAATCCATTACTGATGGATTATCTCTTTTCTATGAATAAAATGAGATATCAATACATTAAACAAAAAAAATCTCTTCACTGAATAATTTCTCCGGGCTTGATTGGAGTCAAAATAAATAAATTCATAAATAATAAAATTAGAAAAATACGATTCATCTAGAAAAATATGAATCTAAAATTGTTTGTTTCTTCTTGAAGTTCAAGTCTACTAGAAGTTCATATTGAATGTTTATCTTCGACACCTAAACATATAAGTATACATGAATACATAGTTTTCATCTATTAAATTTTTATATAATGAACACATACGATCAGATAAGTTAGCATATGAACTTGAAATATTTGAAAAATACGATAAATATTTGTGGGATACTCAAAGTAAATATGTATGAATTTGGGCGATTAAGATAAGAAAAATGAACCTTAAAAATTAGGACTTTGCTACGGTGACATGCATGTCACGGTGACATGCACTTTTCGGTCGACCTCATATAGGATCAGGTCGACCTAATCAGTTGTTTCAGTGTACAAACAGTTTCATGGTGCCTACTTTGGCGATTCATATCTTACAATTGGCTAGATGGAACTTGGAGATTAAAGGCTTGTTTTGAAGCTGAAGTGTCCCTCTACACATTAAAGTACTTGGGAGCTCAATAGAAAGTCTAGAAGACCATTTTTGAACCTGACCAAAAGGCTATGCCAAAACTGGGAAACTGCCTGAAAATGGCCAAGTCTGGCAACGTGTTTGTCAAGCCTACTTTGGAGCTCAATTTGACAAGCATGGATGCGAGTCAAGTCCAGGGGCATTTACCACGTTAAATTATGTGTTTTTTATACAAAGGCAAGGCATTGAATGAAAGATTGAATATCTTTAAGGCTTCAAACAAAAGGCTCGAAGTTGCTACGAAGGCTGTTTTTCTGGCAGCTTGCTTGTGCTCGAAGTCTGCCAGAAAAACAGCCTTCGTAGCAACTTCGGCCCTTTTGTTTGAAGCCTTACAGATATCCAATCTTTCATCCAATTCCTTGAATTTGTATAAAAACATACCTAATTTAACGTGGTAGAGGCTCCTGGACTCGACTCGCATTCATGCTTATCGAATTAAGCTCAAAAATAGGCTTCACAAACACGTTTCCAGACTTAGCCATTTCTAGGCAGTTTCCCAGTTTTGGCATAGCCTTTTGATGAGGTTCAAAAATGGTCTTCTGAACTTCCTATCGAGCTCTCAATCACTTCAATATGTAGAGGGACACTCCAGCTTCAAAACAAGTCATTAGTCTTCAATTTCCATCTAGCCAATTATATGATATGAATATCAAAAGTAGGCACCATGAACTGTTTTTACACTGAAACAACATATTAGGTCGACCGGATCCTATATGAGGTCGACCGAATTCTATGTGAGGTCGACCTAATCCTAACTGAGGTCGACCGGAAAGTGCAAGTCACCGTGACATGCATGTCACCGTAGGCACACCCATAAAAATTAAATTTACTAAAATATAATAAATTGAATTTGTACCTAAATAAAATTAACATACCATTTAATAAAATATAATTTTAATTCATATATTATTAAAAAAATCTTTAAATTAGTATATTATAAGAAATTATTTGTTGATATAATACACCAAAATATTTTATATGTATAAAATCATAATTTGTTACATTGATTGTTTACATGCATAATATATATATACCAACTTAATTAAAACTCATAAACTATCTTATGCGATATAAAATATTATTAAACACATAATAAAGGAAATTGTTAGGGGTGGGTACCCCAAACCTACTCCTTAATAATCTCTTTTCCAGACAGTTCCACTGCCCAAAACTCCAAGGAAATCCCCACTTTCCCATCCTCCACCAGATATCATATTCCCTTCTCCTCGGTCCTCTTCTTTTTGCCATCTTTAGTTTACGCGTAGCAATAATTCCCTCTCAAGCAAAACACAACTATACCAAACGCTCAATGTTCGTCACTATAAATAATACCCTTCTCCCTCCAATTACTTCTCATCACCCTATACGCCCTCAATTCCCTCTTATCTGATCTCCCTCCACCGCCATGGCGCTCTCCAAGCTCGTGATGGCTTCCCTTCTCCTCTCCCTCCTCCTCGTCCTTCAGCTCGCCCATGCTGATTACTCCCCGAAATCACTCGGTACGTAATCTGATCGATACTATAAAAAAAACACTGCTACGTAGAATCACACTTTTGACTGTATTAATTGCAATCAAGAAAATGATCACCAAAAGAAATATGACGAGTGTTAGTAGTTTCCAACTACGATTTTTCAGTTGTCGATGACGAGTTGATCGAAGAAAAAACAAACATAAAAAAAAGTTTTTTTCTAGTTCAAATTTCAGGATATAAAATTCTATGTCGAAATTCGAAACTCATCATAACCAAGTGATGTTTATGGTGGTTTTCAGATTGTGGGAGTGCTTGCAAAGCTAGGTGCCAGCTATCGAGCAGGCCAAACCTATGCCACAGGGCTTGTGGGACATGTTGCCGGCGATGCAGCTGCGTTCCGCCGGGAACCGCCGGCAACTACGACAAGTGCCAGTGCTATGCCACCTTGACCACCCACGGCGGCCGCCGCAAGTGCCCATAAGTCGAAAACGGAACTAGTTTGAACGTACGATGATGATGATGAATGTTTGTTCTCCACTTGGTAAATAATAGAACGGGTGTGGTCAAAGCAATAAAGAAAATGTTTGTAGTAGTTGCTGATATATATCTACGTCAGCAGGGGCTTTATTTTTTTTTGTTTTTTTTTTTGTGAAATTATATGATGTAACTGTGTCTTGTTGCAATGGATGTTGGAGGATTAATGAAAATATACGCATCACTGTGTCATGTATTACTACTTCGTCAGTCCTCGTAAAAACATGATTTTAATTCTTAGATATTTGTTGTAGAGTTAGAACGATTTCTTGTAATAATTGACTTCTTTATGATTGGAATCCCACATGATTATGAGTTTGATCGATTTCTATGGATATTGAGTGAATTGATGAAACTAGACTGTTATTTATGCATGCACATGTACAATATTTATCCCGTCAATGGCTACTAGCAAATTAAAGTTTTCTCGACGTCCTAGAAAGTAAGAATGAATGGAAGAACACACGGTGTTATGCCAATATCTTATTACTTTAGTATTCAAAAATTAACCAGTAAAAAAATATGAGTAAAGTTATATGGTTATTCATTTAAGTGCACAAATTATATTTATTCGACTATTGGTAGATTAATCAGAACAAAAGTATATAGAATATGGTATCCGGCAGACATGGTCCGAATTCGTGTTGCTACCATCTTCAATAAATTCCCTAAAAAATATTTTTTGAACTACATTAATATTTAGTTATCCTTATATTTTTGTCAATTGGCCTATTAGCTCAGTTGGTTAGAGCGTCGTGCTAATAACGCGAAGGTCACAGGTTCGAGACCTGTATGGGCCAAAAAATATATTTTTCAATTTTGTATAGGTATAAAATGTTCGATACTTGTATGGCTGATCTTTCGAAGACGACTCATTTATTGATTTCGTAAATTAAAATTTAGTAGAATTTGATGGTTTTAACTTTGTAGCGTTGCTGTGATCTGTATAGCATTTTCGCCTTTTCCTGTTTGATTCTTCATGTGTTATTCGGAATGGATATATATGCCGAGGTCTCGCAATTAGCCAGAAAATCGCAAATTAGGGGTGTGACAATTGAATCCGAACCTATGGATATCCGACCCGAAGTGGTCAAAGCGGGTAAAACCCAATTCCGACGGGTTTTATGTTGGTTGCGGGTTTTACCCGCTTTTTACACCGTTGTGGTGGGTTTTGCCAAAAGTCCAAACCCCAAACCCTATTTTTCATCCGACCCACACCCGAAAAGCAAAATGATGTCCTTTTTTATCTAACAGGAACAATATGGACAATTGATGAATGCTATTAGTTTTAGCCTCGGTATAAACATAAATATATATGTAATTTATGAATGTAATTAGTACTTATATAAATATATTTGTAGCATTATGTTAGTGAACTCATGGATGTTCATGCATTCGCGGAAACCCATTGGATAAGGTTTGCTCTTCCAAAACTTAATGAATATTTTATCCAACTTTTCAATGAGTACATCCACTAAAATAAATTTTTATTTGGAGAAATCTTACCAAACTCGACCCATTATTATCCCTATAGTCAATACTATTGCCTTTGCCATTCTCCCCGGCGGCCTCTTTCAAGCTTTTGGCCTTTTGCTTTGTTTTAATTCGTCCAGCTGTATAACACCACTTTGCTAGCAACTTCTTATTCTCCCCCAGCTGGCGGAAGTCATCATCAGTCATCAGCATGGTTGTCATGCCAGTGGCATGCCACCCGGTTGAACCTAGTTTCATTTGTGCATGTTATGAAACCGGCATGACATTACTGATGCGACCGATATGATCGACTTACTCATTCTAAGCAAAATGACATCAATTTAATGAATTTAGTTAATAAAAAATTAATTAATTTTCCATTTTATGAATTTAATAGTTAAAAGTTGATGATATTTGTTGGATTGTAACTAAATTGTCCACAAATATGTTTTATATATGATTAAATACATTGGATATTAATTGTTTTCACATTTTATAAAACCGGCATGCATCGACACAAACTGATTATACCACCGGTCGTACCATTCCACTTATCAAACCGGCACAACGGTATAAACCGATTCGACAACCTTGGTCATTAGTCCATCCCATACATAATCCGATACTCAACCAAGACAAGGATGGTTCCAATAAGGTCAAAGTGGTCACTAATTATATCACTAACTAATAATTTGTACTAATAAAATACGCAATGCATACAGCCAAACTATGAGCTGGCAAATAATAGAACTGCATGGGGTTGACTGATCAATACTGTAAGCTTCGAAGCGTCGAAGTTCGCCTCGTCTTGTCTCTCGAAGCAAAGGCCTAATTCCATGTTTTTTTTTTTCTTACTGGAAAGCACGCCGCCTAATCCATTTTATACTGTTCTTTGAGACTCCCTTGATTATTGACGGTCTCTTCATATCCTAAATATAATTAAAGCTATAATGTCATTACTGTTGCATAAAAGTTTTACTACTTTGCACAGCTGTCATTCTTCTTTTATGACCCGCAGCACTTATCACCGGAGCATGGAGTCTTCAGTAGGATTCTTACAATAAATATATTTTAGGTTTGGGGAGCTCGGCTGTCCAAGGGAGGTTTGGGAGTATTTTAGGATTAGAATGTTTATGAGTATATTATAAATAGGAATAATTGAAAGGGAAGTCGAGGTAGGAGATAATTGGTAAGGGTTAGGGTGTTAATATTTTTTTTATTAGTATGATGTTAACCTGAATTTATTTTTTCGATGAATCGCTAAAATAAATTTTAATCTATAAAACATACTACAAGTTTCTAAAAGTATATTAGAAGTTTCTTAGAGCATACCACAAGTTCTATGAAACATGTGAGAAACCTAATAAAGCAACCCACAAGTTTTTTTAAAGCATACCGATAATCTCATAACATTGGACCTATTTATAAATCTTAAACATAATATTTCAGGTATCAAAATATAAGAAAAATATTTTAGGTACTAAAACGTTCATTTCCATCAATACTTTCATAAATTATTTGTAAAAAAATTACTTTTAGCCATCAAATATTAAATCTATTAAGTTCAGATAACAAAATACAATTTTTGTATAAAACCTCAATGAAAGGAACATAGAAGAAGAGGGAAGGAGGAAGGGAAAATGGGGAAGAAAAGTTACTATAATGCTCTTATTAAAAGTGTTAGTATAGTGCTAACACCCTCCTCCTAGGGTTAATTATTATTTGATTTTGTTAGGTGGTCAAAATAGGACCGAGTAGTATTATTGTTCTCGGTTTATCGATAAAACCAAGATATTCAAACCAAGATAGCCAATCTCATGAAAGGTTTCATGTTACAGTAGCCAATTTCATTGCATAAAATATAGAGTGTCTGAGAAATTGATCCTCAGATATCTCTGGATGATGGATAACTTTGGGTATAAATGAAGTGATTGAGTTCAAATGATTGATTATGTTGTTCTACCATGTGTTGTTTTTATCTTATAAATTTTGGCGTATTCTACTTAGTGAAAGTTGACACTCAAGTGTGGCGGTACTAGATTGAAATTGCAAGTATATTTGCTATGATGAACGATGTTCCAGTTGAAGCACAAGGAGATGTACATGGGCAAGCGAAGCAAAAAGGCTAGTACTTTTTTCCTTTTTTCATGTTTTATGGAATATTGTCATATGTTGTTCTGTGTGTTGCTTGAATCTACGGATATGAGGGTAATATCGCATTGGGATAGAGTATGAATGGTATGACCATGAAGACTTATCTCCTCTGACTTTGTCATATTTGTCCTTAACATTAATTTAAGAGCTAAATAATTCTATTGTTTTTATTTGCAAAAGGATTCAGGTTATGTCATAACAATTATGGTTGTATTGTATCTTTGTACTCCTTATGTCCCATTGTAAGTTGTATTTTCTTTTTTTTTTGGTGGAACCAGAGCGCTAAGGGGCGCTCCAACCCTATATGATAACTGAACGAGGGGTTTGGACCCCCAAAAGATCAAAGTACAACCAACGACTCAACAACGGACTGGGATTTTCAAACACATGAACCCCCACTGGTAAGCTATAGCCAACTGAAGCAAGGTAATCAGCAACAACGTTACCCTCTCGAAAAACATGGTCAATCTGCACCTCCCACTCTCTGGCTAGGAGCTCTCGAATAGTGGCCACCTGGACAAAGTGGATGTGACCTGGCGTAGCATCATGGATGAGTTGGGCTGCTGTGGCCGAGTCAGTCTGAACCTTCACCTTGCGGCATCCCTCGTCCCAGGCCAACCGAAGTCCAAAAGCGATACCTGCAAGCTCAGCATAAGTGATGGATCCCGCCCCCAGGTTCGCTGAGAAAGCCCTCACAAACCGTCCCGCTTCGTCTCTGATCACCCCCCCTGCCGTACTTCCCTGAGCTCCCGCCACCGAGCCATCGGTGTTAAGGCAAAACCAATCGGTCGGCGGCCTTTGCCAGCTGATCATGCGTGTATTGCGTTCTGGAGCTCCTACCAAACTTCGGCTATAGGCTGCTTGAGCTAAATCCACCTGACGCCGTAGAATGCCCACTTGCGCCGTAAGTTGCTGTGTAGAGGCGAGCTTCTTCTCAAAAACCCAGCTATTTCTGCTTTTCCAAAGACTCCAGCAAGTAATCGCAAAAAGAGTGGGATCAACAACCTTACTTCGGCCCGATAAGTAATGCATAACCCACTGCTCCAGCGATAATTCAAAGAAGGTACTATCCGGTTCATCCAAGAGGAACTCCGACCACGCCGATCTTGCGTACGAACACTCCCTGAGCACATGGTCCGTCGTTTCCGGGCCCCCTCCACACAGCGGGCAATCATCGGATTGGGCCAGGTGGCGACGTCGTCGCTCAGCATTTGTGAGAAGTCGATGGTGGAGAACCAGCCAAAAGAAAGGCCTCAGTCTCTGGGGTCCGTCAATCTTCCAAATCGCCCGCCATACTGCCTGGTGTTGATTCGCTCTCTCTCCTTCCTCTGTCAGTTCATACGCAGATGCCATGGTGAAGCGCCCATTAGCCGAGAGTCTCCAGCAAGGGACGTCGGCTTCCACTTCAAAGGGGACCGGATGTAGCTGGAGCTGGAGGACAGCCGCTTCCGGCAAGAAAACTCGCACATAATCAAGGTTCCAACGACCATTGAGCACCATGTCAGCAACCGAGACGTCAGAGACTTTGGGGGGAAGATTATGGGCAGCTTCGATCAGAGGCGGACCATCGTACAACCAAACGTCTTTCCAAAACCGAGTCCCCATACCATTACGCACATTCCACATGATTCCTTTGGGCAGTAGATGGAGCACTCGCAGGACGCCCCTCCATAAGTTAGACATTCTGCCCTCCGTCCGGGGGATCCAACCCTCCGTAGTACGACGAAGGTACTTCGCATTGATCACACGAGCCCAGAGGCTTTCCGGTTCCGTTAAAAGCCTCCAAGCAATTTTCAACATAAATGCTTCATTCATCCGGGTGGCGTTCCGGAGACCCAGCCCTCCGTCCCCCTTTGCTCTGCATAGAGTTTCCCAATCTACAAGATGAATCTTCCTCCCCTGCTCGGAGCTTCCCCAGATGAACCCCCGGATCTTCTTGCCTATATATTCGCGCACAGCCGCCGGGAGAAAGGAGGTCTGCATGATGTATGCTGGAAGAGCTCCCAGAACCGATTGCACCAGGGTAATCCGTGCTGCGAGGGACAGGGTAGCCACCTTCCAACTGGCCAACTTCGCGTCAATCTTGTCAATCAAGTCCACAAAGGTCGCCTTCGAGACTCGGTCATGGATCACAGGGACTCCCAGATACCGCCCGAGATTAGACGTCCGCGGGATACTTAGGGCCTCACTCAGATTTGTACCGATTGAATCAGTTACATTTTGTGAGAAGAAAACCCTGGATTTAGGCTTGCTGACCTGCTGACCAGAGGCAGCTCCGAACACTTCAAGGCACTGCGAAATTATCTGGACCTGCTCAAGAGAGGCAACACCAAAAAGTATGAGATCGTCAGCAAAGAACAGGTGGGACAGAGGAGGTCCTCCCTGGTTCAGCTTGATTGGTTTCCATTTCTTCTCCTCGACTGCAGCCTCAATGAGATGTCCCAGCCGCTCCATGCATAGCGTGAACAAGTACGGGGAAAGGGGACAGCCCTGCCGAAGACCTCTGGAGGGGGTAAAATCTTGAGTAAGCCCCCCATTCCATTGAATTTGCATGGACGCCGTCGAAACACAAGTCATAACAATCTCAGTGAATTTCGGCGGTGCACCTGCTGCTACCAGCGTATCCTTCACAAAGCTCCATTTTATGCGATCATAGGCCTTGGCAAGGTCAATCTTAAGCACCATCCAGCCCGTCCTCCCCTTTTTAGCTCGCATCGAATGAACAACCTCCTGCAAAATACAGATGTTATCAGTAATATGCCTTCCAGGCACGAAGCTCGTCTGAGTTTCGTGGACTAGCCGGGGCATAATAGGCTTCAAACGCTCAGCAAGGCACTTGGTGATCATTTTGTATGACACGTTACAGAGACTGATAGGACGAAACTGCTCTATCAGAGTAGGCCGCTGCAGTTTCGGGACAAGAGCAATAATTGTAGCATTTACACTCTTGAGGTTGGCTGGCTCGTTCCAACATGTCTGCGCAAAGGATACCACTTCTTCACTGACAAGCTCCCAACACTTCTGGTAAAATAACGGATTGAGACCGTCCTTGCCCGGAGCTTTAAAACCACCCATACTTCGGACAGCGCTGTGAAGTTCATCGGCGGTGAACTGGGGCTCGGCCGCCTGCCAAACTTCAGTCGGAACCAGCGGGAAGGCCCCTAGCATCTCAGCAACAGGTAGCCCGTCATCAGTGTAGAGCTCCGTGAAAAAATGACGGGCCATTTCGAGCAGTACCGCTGGATCATCCACCCATTGACCTTCGCTATTTTTCAATACGGTGACCCTGTTCCCCCGCCGCCGCTTCATCGTTCTCGAGTGGAAGAATTTGGTGTTTCGATCACCCGAAGTGATCCAATCCAGGTTGGATTTTTGGCACCATAGTAGTTCCTCCTGGGTGAGGACGTCTTCTAACTCGTCTCTAGCCTGCTGTAACTCTCTGTCATTTTCATCATTTACTGTTCGACCTTCCAAGCGCTCAATCTTAGCAAGGAGGTTATTCTTCTTCTTTATAATATTCCCAAAGGTATGCGAGTTCCAGGCTTTGGCCTCTTGCGCGAACTCCTTGATGGAGCTTAAGAGGTCCGTACCTCTCCTCCATGCACGCTCGGCCATATTCTTGAAGTCCTCATGCAGCAGCCAGGCGGCAAGGAACTTGAAGGGTTTTGGACCTGCAGGCTGGAAGTGAGGGTTGAGGGACAGCAGCAGCGGCCGATGGTCGCTCTTCACTCGGGGAAGGTGGCGGACAACAGAATCGGGGAAAGTGGATGACCAAACTGAGTTAACAAGACTCCGGTCGAGCCTCTCTTTTATACCTGAACGAAACCACGTGAAAGCCGGCCCCGTGAAGCCGAGATCAAACAATCCCGCATCCAGGACACAGTCTTGGAATTCCCGAGCTCGGCTAGAATCAAAAGCAGCACCCCCCATCTTATCCGAGGGCTGTAAAATTGAATTGAAGTCTCCCATTAGGAGCCACGGCTCAACCATGTCTTCCGCCAAGCTACGTATCGACTGCCAAAGACCTCTCCGCTGAACTAAAGCTGGATCCGCATATACTGCCGTCAGGAACCATGAACTTCGGCCTTGCTGCACTTGAACATGGAGGAATTGATCCGATCGGTCAGCTGCTGTGACCGATAATATAGAAGAGTCCCAGGTGATCCAAATGCCTCTGGCGAAACCCACCGCCTCGACGGCCAGCCATTTGTCGTAACCCATTTTCTGCCGAACTTCTTCAGCCTTAGCTCCGCTAATACGTGGCTCCACAATGATAGCCATACACGGTCTATACTTCCTTTTATATTCTTTGAAAACTCTGAGGAAACGCTTCCCTCCCGCACCCCTACAGTTCCATGAGAAGATGTTCAGCATCATCTAACCATAGTAGTAAAGGTCACCACTAGAAAGGGTTCACGATTGCATGCTGGAATCCCCAAGGTTGGGGCTTCCTTGCATCACTAGGGATATATCCCGTTCCTTCGCATTAGAGCTGGCTTTTGACTGGGGAGCATATTTAGAAGCTGGAGGAATTAGGGGGTCCGGGGGCCTTGTCATTTCAACCCCAACAGGGGGTGGGCTCTGATCCTCCGTCAGGTCGGGGTGAACTGGGGAGCCACCGTCCCGTCTCGGCCGTTCCAGGTTCTTCTCTTCCGATGAAATACCAAGTGATCGTCCCTTTTCCAAGTTCCCATGCACCTCACTAGTCTCCTCAGCGCTTCTAGTGGACTTCTCGGTGGTTGGTGTTACCATGATATTAGCAACAGGAGGGGAACTCTTGCTAATCTGGCTCTTAGGACCGGCAGAGCTCCCGCCTTTCTTCTTCTGTCCCGTCTTCGCTATGAACGACTGCTGGGGAGGCACAGTCGGGGGAATGTCCCCCTGGTTCACACGTTCCTCAGTCCTGGGGTCATCACTGCGCTGATCATCCCCTCCCTCTTCTGATAGTAGGGTGAAACGCGACCCATTATTCAAACTTGGAGGGGAGCTCAGCGGCGAGCTGGCTTCCTTCCCACTAGTCAGTGAAGCCGCCTCCTTCCTCGGTCTTATCCTTCTTTTCGCAATCATCCACTCCCCATAAAGCTTTCCTGGTGGGTTAGGGATCGCGGTTTCTTTTGGAGGCTCATCTACTGGAATCTCTTGGGTCTCAGTTTCCATAGCCGCCCCCTTACAGTGACAAGAGCACTTGCCTCTGCTCGTATACGTGCCACACTGCAGACATATGTTCTCAAGTCCCTCGTATTGGATGAAATACGTCTTCCCATGTATAGTAAACTGCGACAACAACGGTTTGGTCAAATCGACTTGCACACAGACTCTTGCATAATCACTTCTAGCTCCCGTACTCGTAGCATGGTCCACCCTTAACGGCTTCCCAATCCGATTCCCAATCTTCATAACTGCCACCGGATGGAAATACTGTATCGGGAGTTCCAATAGACGGGCCCAGACAAGAGTGGAAGAAATCTCATGCTCATAGGCATTAAAGTCTTTGGTCCAAGGATGAACAGTAAGATAGTTGTCCCCCAGCATCCATGGACCGCCTGCTACAGCTCTCTCAAAATCTAACCCATTCGTAAATCGGACAAGAAAGTAGCCATTCTTAGCAGACGTTACTTGGATGTCTCCTGCCTTCGCCCAAATGCTATTAAGTCTCTTTGCCATGAGCGTATATGAGACTGACCTTCCCAGAGCTTTAACAACGAGCACCGACCTCCATTCCCTGTTGAACATACGTTCTTCCGCAGCCGTGAAATGGATGGCCGGGCATTTCGGGTCTGCCTCACCATCAAAGCCTTCCTCCATACCATCCTCCCTCATCCCTGCAGCCACATCCTCGGAGTCCGAGTCGGCTACGTACCACATGCCTGTACGTGTAGTATCACCGAAAAGAGTTCTCGCCGCTCCCGCACTAGATCCCCATGCAGATGGGCGCGGGCTCGATGGCGGCGGTACCTTGTTCGCATCATGCAGAGCTTCGTCACTTGTTTCACCCGCCGGAAAAAGCACTGTTTGCTTCGCAAGTTTTTTTGTCTGTTGCGCCTCCCTCTCGCCCTTAGGGTTAGGGGATGAGGAAGCAGAGGGTGGCCTTCGCTGTCCCGCAAGCGTGTCAGCTGTCATGGGACTATCCGTGCCCCCGCCGGCTAGTGGCGTACCCACCGCCGGCATGAGGAAGGAGAACGTAACCCTAGATCGCCTTTCGCCAAAATAATCGCCGCTCCAAAAAAATGTTTTCTAACATCAAGAAAATGTTTTCGAACTTATGTTAGTAATTTACTTGGATTATATCTATGAAATAGAGCTTAATTGATAATTGGTCTATCATTTTCTTCTTTTCATTCGTTTCCCAAGTTGAAGGTAGACATTTGAGCTTGAGGTCCTATTTACTTCAAGCTAAACTAAAGAAATTTAACCTACATATTTAATGCAAATGGGCTTGCAAATAATGATCCACAAACCAATCTTACAGCCGCTGCGTAGCGTGGCCAACATCTCCTAGTTTTATTTTATAGGTAACAAACAACAGCACATTGATCAATTTAAGAAATGGGTTGTATCGTTGCTTGATAAATAATTTCTATTTTTTAACTATTTGTCCTTTTTTTTCCATTTCCCTATTTGACGCCCTTGCGTAGTCGATTTCTCATCTCTTTCTCTTCCTCCAATCCTCTAATAATCTAAGGCCTACATGAGAGATTCACTTTCAAGTAGAAATACATACACGTTTTTTTTTTTTTTTTTTTTGCTTCTACAAAGAGATGTGAATAATTCAGTGTTCTAAGAAATAGAGAAGAGAAAAATCAACGGAGTCTTCGAACACTTACCTCTGCTTTTGAACTTGGAAAGTTCGAATCGCTTAAGCAATTAAGTAAATATTCACAGATGGTAGGGCTGGGCATGCGGGCGGATCATCCGCGGGTTTGGGCCGACCCACCCGCATTTGACCCGAATTTCGTTAAGTGGGTGGGTCTGTGGGTGGGTGACGGGTTGCGCTGGGAGCCATCCGCCGGGTGGTGGGTGGGTTGTGGGTGAGTGTGCGGGTGACCCGCTCAACCCAACAGCAAAAAAATCAAAGTCGTTGGCGCTAGAGAGAGGAGAGTGGAGACGTTAGATATAAACTCGGACTGCTCCTGGAGTTTGAACCTCAAAGCCAACCTTCCAAATAGAGATCCCCTCTTCTTCCCTTTACTTTTTCCTCTAATTCTTGTGTCTAGATCACCGTTCTTTCCTTTGTGGAATTATTTTTCTTAGTTCCTTGCACCTAATAATCGTCTCAATCTGTAGAAAACTCTTTCATAATAGAATTTTTGTCCAATTTAATAACTAATTCGACATTTTTCGCCCTATTTCAACTTCTGGTTTCCCTCGATGATTCTCTTCACCTATTATCATGTCAAGTTGACTCCTTTATATTATATGCATTGTGATGTGGGTGAACCCACAAACCCACCCGCATCATCCACCATCCGCCCGACCCAACCCGAGACTAAATGTGGGTGGGTGGTGGGTTAAAAATTATCAATCCGTTTAAGCGCGGGTGGGTGCATTTTATGGTCAAAATCCACCCGACCCACCCAATGCCCACCCCTAACAGATGGGCATAAAAAGAAACCATATAGCAAAGAATAGTTTGATCTAGTGATAATACCACTGGTCTTGAAATTAGAGGTCCCAGATTCGAATCCTTTATATAAAACAGAAGTAAAAACTATAAACCTGTATCACCCTTATAAGAAAAACCATTTGAATTTAATATGGAGAAATATGATTTATTTTGAAGTTTCATTTTTCAACCACAAATATTTTTTTATATATATAATGATATCAAAAGATAGTATATGAGAATATTAATTCATTAACTTGGTTGTTTACATGGATAATAATATATCTGTACCAACTTAATTAAAACTAATAAACTATCGTACCCGAAGTAAGATATATTAATGTTAAACACATAATAAAGAAAATTCTTAGGGGTGGGTACCCCAAAACCTACTCTTTAGTCTTTAGTCTTCTTTTCCAGACAGTTCCACTGCATCCCCAAAACTCCAAGAAAATGCCACTTTGCCATCCTCCACCAGATAGATATTCCCCTCTCCTCATCATCATATCCTCTCTTTAATTTTTGCCACCCTTTAGTTTACGCGTAACAATAAATCCCTCTCAAGCAAAACACGAATACTATACTCCAACTATACCAAACGCTCAATATTCGTCACTATAAATACCCATCTCCCTCAAATTACTTCTCATTATACCCAATAAGCTCTCTTCCTCTCATACAAATATACAATGGCGCTCTCCAAGCTTGTAATGGCTTCCCTGCTGCTCTCCCTCTTTGTCCTTCAGCTCGCCCAAGCTGATTACTCCCCGCAACCAATCGGTACGTAATCTCATTTAAAAAAAAAAAATCCTTGCAAACAAGAAAATGGTCACCGAAAGTAATGGAATGGTTGTTAAAAGTTTCTCTAACAAAATTTTCTGTTATCGACAACCAATTTTTCAGATTGTGGGAGTGCTTGCAAAGCTAGGTGCCAGCTATCCAGTAGACCAAACTTATGCCACAGGGCTTGTGGGACATGTTGCCGGCGATGCAGCTGCGTTCCTCCGGGAACCGCCGGCAACTACGACAAGTGCCAGTGCTATGCCACCTTGACCACCCACGGCGGCCGCCGCAAATGCCCATAATGATAAAGTTTGCTTCAGTCACGTGACTTTCACGAGTCAAAACGGAACTAGTTTGAACGTACGAGGATGATGATGAATATTTGTTCTCCATTTGGTAAATAATAAAACGGATGTGGTCAAAGCAATAAAAGGAGCTTGCCCCTTGTAGTGGTTGCTGTTTGCTGGTGTATGTCTACGTCAGCAAAGGTTTTATTTTTTTTTCTTCCTTTTTTTTGTGTGTGTGGAAATATATGTCACTGTGTCATGTTACATGGATGCTGAGGGATTAATGATGATATATATCATGTTTACTACACTTGTTCTTAGCCAAAAAGTTTAGAAAGGTTATGTTTAGCTCTATTTCAACAATTGAAAGAACTCGTGATTTTACGTTAATTTACAACTTAACCAGTATTTATTTTGATCGTAGAGTTATAAGAGCTTTTATGATTCGAATTTCACGTTGATTTTCAGGAATGTTGAGTAAATTTGTGAAAGTGAAAAAATATATGCATATGGAGGACAATCATGTTATTGGCACTAGCAATTTAAAGTTTTCTAAAAATAATAGAATGTAAGAATCAAATGGAAGTACACGCTCATGCTTATCACTTCAGCCACCCCTGAAAGTTGGGCATTAAAAATTTATGAATAATCTAATGGAAACTTTCATTTAACTACACCAAATATTTTTTATTCGACTATTTGTAGACTAATCCAGAAAGAAGTTTGTAGAAAATGGCCTCTCGCAGACATGACCAAGTTCATTTTGATTGATACTATGGCTACTGGACTCCTAAAAATTGTATAGTGAAGTAAATCAATTTTGAGTTCACCTAAACTTTTTATCAAATGGCCTATTAGCTCAGTTGGTTAGAGCGTCGTGCTAATAACGCGAAGGTCACAGGTTCGAGACCTGTATGGGCCAAATATTATTTTTACATTCGAGTTCGTCAAGGAATAAAATATATATTTTCCCATTTACAATGTGAAGATGTAGATTAAAGATGTCATGGATCACATTAATTTTTCTAGTGATCTTTCGAGTTCGTCAAGGAATAAAATATATATTTTCCCATTTACAATGTGAAGATGTAGATTAAAGATGTCATGGATCACATTAATTTTTCCAGTGATCTTTAGCTGACATTACCAGAACTACACCAATTATTTTTTATTCGACTATTGGTAGAATAAGACATTACTCGAACTCGTTTTTGTCTGTTTGGGTTTACCTAACTCCCTATAAAGTGTTTAGTGAAATGACCTATTAGCCAAGTTGGTTAGAGTGTCGTGTTAGTAATGTGAAGGTCATAGGTTTGAGACCTGTATGTGCATAAGTATTATTTTTCATTTCAAATTCGTCAAGGCATAAAATATACATTTTCCCATAGACAATGTGAAGATGTAGATTAGAGATGTCATGAATCACATTAATTTTTCTAGTGATCTCTTGCAGACATTACCCGAACTACGCCAATTATTTTTTGTTCGATTATTGGTTGAATAAGAAATTACATGAACTCGTTTTGTCGATTTTGGGTTTAGCTAACTCCCTATAAAGTGTTTAGTGCAATGACCTATTAGCCAAGTTGGTTAGAGCATTGTGCTAATAATGTGAAGGTGGTAGGTTCGAGACCTGTATCTGTATGTGCCAAAGAAATATGAATCTTATTGTTGATGTAGATTAGACATGTCAGGTCCCAATAAATTGAGTTGTTGGAGAAAAGATTATTATGAATCTTATACCATTCTCTTAGAATATTTCTTGATTGTTGTGTTATACTCTAATTTCCATAATTTTACCAAGATCAATTACATGCTTGCAAAGGTAGTTTCAAATATGTATTAGATTTGAAGGGTCGTTGAAGCCTCTCACATCTCCTATAACAATAATTTTATATTTTCATTTGATAATTCTTTTATGGAAGTAAATTATATGAAAAATTGGATGGCATTTTTTTAAGACAAGGAAGATCTGAGGTGAGAGAAAGTTGAAATTTTAATAATAAAAATAGAAAATTGCATACAAGGCAACATAAAATTTTGAAATCCCCTTACTAATTTCTTTAGATTTTTTCCCCACTATAACTTTGAACATTTGTCACTATAAATATTAAATGCCTACCATCCAACTTCTCATCACTCATTCCAAGTTCCCGTTATCTCTCAAACTACAACAAACTATAAACCCTCTCAAAGACCCTCCACAAAAAAATGGCCCTCTCCAAGCTTGTAATGGCTACCCTTCTCCTCTCCCTTCTCTTCCTTCAGTTCGCTCACGCTGCTAATTCCTCCACTCAATCAATCGGTACGTAAATTAAAATTCACGACATTGGATCACATAATTGCAAAAAAAAAAAAAAACTTTTTCTTGTATTTGAAATTTTAGCATAACAATTCATGTTAAATTTGAATTATATTCCTAAGTAGGATATTTATCCGTATGATGGTTTTGATCAGATTGTGGAGAAGCTTGCAAAGTTCGGTGCCAGTTATCGAGCAGGCCGAACCTATGCCACAGGGCTTGCGGGACATGTTGCCGCCGATGCAGCTGCGTCCCTACCGGAACCGCCGGCAACTACGACCAGTGCCCTTGCTATGCCACCTTGACCACCCATGGCGGCCGTCACAAGTTCCCTTAATTGTAATTAATTAATTCACGATTGCGTTTAAACTCTTTAAGAACGTGGGATAATTACTAATATTGATGATATATGTTTGTTTTCCATTTGGTAAATGTAAAATGGATGTAGTACTGATCAATAAAAAGCTTGCTGCAGCTGCTTATCTATATCTCTATTTCAGTTGGTTAGAGCGTCGTGCTAATAACGCGAAGGTCACAGGTTCAAGACCTGTATGGGGCAAATTATATTTATTACAGTTTATATAGGTATAAGATGGTTTTTCACAGGTTCAAGACCTGTATGAGCCAAATTATATTTTATTACAGTTTATATAGTTATAAGATGGTTTCTCATAAACAATTAGCACGCGAAGGTCACAGGTTCGAGACCTGTATGGGCCAAATTATATTTTTTGTATAGTTCATATAGGTATAAGATGGTCTTTTGTATAAATGAGCCGAACTCATTTTGTAGATTTTGTGTACAACTAATTAACTATCTATCAAGTATTTAGTGAAATATATGAAATTCGGATTCACCTAATCTTTTTTATCAATTGGCCTATTATCTCAGTTTGTTAGAGCGTCGTGCTAATAACGCGAAGGTCACAGGTTCGAGACCTGTATGTGCCAAATTATATTTTTTTTATAGTTTATATAGGTATAAGATGGTTTCTCATAAACAATTAGCACGCGAAGGTCACAGATTCGAGACCTGTATGGGCTAAATTATATTTATTACAGTTTATATAGGTATAAGATGGTTTCTCACAGGTTCAAGACCTGTATGAGCCAAATTATATTTTATTACAGTTTATATAGTTATAAGATGGTTTCTCATAAACAATTAGCACGCGAAGGTCACAGGTTCGAGACCTGTATGGGCCAAATTATATTTTTTGTATAGTTCATATAGGTATAAGATGGTCTTTTGTATAAATGAGCCGAACTCATTTTCTAGATTTTGTGTACAACTAATTAACTATCTATCAAGTATTTAGTGAAATATATGAAATTCGGATTCACCTAATCTTTTTTATCAATTGGCCTATTATCTCAGTTTGTTAGAGCGTCGTGCTAATAACGCGAAGGTCACAGGTTCGAGACCTGTATGTGCCAAATTATATTTTTTTTATAGTTTATAAAGGTATAAGATGGTTTCTCATAAACAATTAGCACGCGAAGGTCACAGATTCGAGACCTGTATGGGCCAAATTATATTTTTTGTATAGTTCATATAGGTATAAGATGGTCTTTTGTATAAATGAGCGAACTCGTTTTGTAGATTTTGTGTACAACTAATTAACTATCTATCAAGTATTTAGTGAAATATATGAAATTCGGATTCACCTAATTTTTTTTATCAATTGGCCTATTAGCTCAGTTGGTTAGAGCGTCGTGCTAATAACGCGAAGGTCACAGGTTCCGAGACCTGTATGGGCCAAATTATATTTTTTTATAGTTTATATAGGTATAAGATGGTTTCTCATAAACAATTAGCACGCGAAGGTCACAGATTCGAGACCTGTATGAGCCAAATTATATTTTTTGTATAGTTTATATAAGTATAAGATGGTTTCTCATATACAATATAAACATCGCAAATTAGAGACGTCAATGACCACATTAAATTATATTTTTTTATAGTTTATATAGGTATAAGATGGTTTCTCATAAACAATTAGCACGCGAAGGTCACAGATTCGAGACCTGTATGGGCCAAATTATATTTTTTGTATAGTTCGGGTTATTCTACTGCCTCTAGGGGGCTTCGCCAGGGGGGATCAGCTCTCTCCCCTCTTGTTTGTGCTCTGCACGGAGGGTTTTGCAGCACTTCTCCGGAAGGCGATCATGGAAAAAAATTAGAGGGAGTGAAAGTAGCGCCCCGGGCACCACGAGTCTCGCATCTGTTCTTCGCAGATGATTCTTACTTATTCTTGCGAGGGTCTCTTCAAGAGTGCGGGAATTTAATTGAGGTGCTAAATGAGTATGAGGAATTGAGTGGCCATCGCGTTAATTTAGAGAAATCGGCAGTGTGTTTTAGCAAGAATATTTCCTCGCCCGATCAGGAATTCTTGGCCACAATCCTGGGGGTTGGTGCACTGGGGGTTCACGACAAATATCTGGGGCTTCCCACGCTGGTTGCTCGATCCAAAATGGCTATGTTCAGATATTTGGAGGTTAAACTCTTAGAGAGACTTCAGGGGTGGAAGCAAAGGACATTATCGTGGGCTGCGAAGGAAACTTTGATTAAATCCATAGCATTGGCCCTGCCCCTGCATGTTATGTCCTGTTTTCGGCTTCCCCTATCTCTTTGTCGGCTTCTTGATAAACATGTGGCCCGCTTTTGGTGGGGTGCTGAGGAGGGCAGTCCCAAGATTAGATGGGTGTCCTGGCGAAACATGTGCAGGAGTAAGCATGAGGGGGGATGAGATTTTGCCAGTTTGAACACTTCAATCAAGCTCTTCTGGCAAAGATAGGTTGGTGTATTCTTAATGACCCTCAGTCGCTCATTGCCCAGATTTATAAAGGCAAGTACTTCCCTCAAGGGTCCTTTCTGACCGCGGCTGCTAGGTCTCGTCCCTCTTGGGGTTGGCAGAGTATCCTTCATGGGCGTCAGTTATTGGAGATGGGATTAAGGTGGCAGGTTGGTAATGGCCATTCGATCTCCCTCCTTCATTCTAACTGGATCCCTAGTTTCCAACTAGATCCCCCATGCTATAATCCGTGGATTTTGCCTGAGGGGGGGTGATCCTTTGGTGGCCGAGTTTATTTGCCAAGGGGAAGGGAGGTGGTCTGATGAGAAGCTCTGTCAGTGGTTTGACCCGCCCACCTGTAGGGCGATCAAAGCTATTCCTCTTCCGAGATGGGATGTGCCAGATAAACTTATCTGGCATTTTACGGCTGACGGGGTTTTCTCGGTAAAGTCGGCTTATCATTTGTCTGTCGATTTGGACAGGAGGAGGGCTGGGTGGCGATCGTCAGTTAGCTGGATGGATAAACCAAGTTGGATAAGAGTGTGGGAGGCGAAGATCCCTCCGAAGTTGAAGGTTTTTGTATGACAAATCCTTAATTGGGCTCTCCCAACGATGGAGGCGCTTATTGAGAAAAAAGTTCAGGTACTCCCTCAGTGTCCAGTTTGTTGGGATGGCCCGGAGATGATGGAACATCTATTCCTGTACTGTCCGGTTGCGCGGGCTCTCTGGGACTACTCAGGGCTGGAATACCTGGGGGAGGGTTTGCCTCGACACACCTTTCCTTTGTTCCTCAAACGTTTGTTGGTGCTGATTCATTAACCGTCAGTGGTTATGGTTGTTGTTGCTGTCCTTTGGAGGATCTGGCGTTCTCGGAATTGGGTTGTCTTTGAAGGCAAACAATTTGGGATTCCGGAGCTCATGCGGCAGTTTCACCAACAGTTTGAGGAGTGGGTGTCTCTACCAGCGGATCAGGCTCCGAGGATGTCTATCCCGATGATGCAACCAGTAGCGCAATTGGGTGATTCCCATTTGGTTGCATGTGGGACGGGGCTACGAAGGGTGGGTCGCATTCGGCTGGTGGGATGGTTCTCTTTGACCCAGCGCGGACACTCCTTCTGGCTAGAGGGGTTCAGTTTTCTCAAGTGGATGACCCGATGCTGGTGGAATTGCTTGTGCTTAGGGAAGCTATTATTTGGTGTATGAGCAAGGCTTGTCGGAGGTCCGGTTTGAGGGCGATGCGAAGGTGGTTATTGACAAAATTAATCAAGCCAACACAAGAGATAGCCGGTTGGGTGCTGTTCTAGAAGAGATTGAGCATTACTTTCGTACCCAGTCTGGTTTTAGTGTGCGTTTTGTAGGTCGGGAGAACAATAGGGTAGCTCATGTGGTAGCTAGGAAAGCCCTTTCATTGTATCCGACTATGAGTCGCTTCTTTGATTTCCAATCCTGGCCGGGTTCCAAAGTGTAATTGTAATTTTTTGATCAATACATGATATCTTTTGACAAAAAAAAAAAAGGTTTCTCATACACAATATAAACATCTCAAATTAGAGACGTCAATGACCACATTAAATTTGTCCCGGTGGTCTTTTGCATACATGTACTGTCACTGAGCTTGTTTTGTTACTTGTTCCACAAAAAATGATCCGTTTTTTTTTAAGATCCGAACTTTAGTTAAAGATGACCATGGAAACCTGTATGTGCCAAATTATCATTTTTTCGAGTTCATATAGGCATAAAATGATTTCTCATGCATAATGTGAACACCACAAAATAGATACCTCATGGACAAGATTAATCTTGTTCTATGAGTGTTTTACATACACGAACAAAACACATTTTGCTGATTTCGTGTTCACCTAATCCAAATACCTCATAGGCCGACCATTTTGATTAACTGAGGTTAACCGCAGAAGTACGAGGTCGACCGCGTGCACACCGTATCCGTATTGGATAAGGATTCCAACACCAGAAAGGTAACCCTAACTTATCTACCACTTAATTCGACCCATTCTCGTCTTAAATATCTATAAATATGAATATATGTCACCTTTACCCCACTGAAACTCTGAATTAGGTTTTTTTATGGTTAGATCTTTTGTGAAGAAGATCCTTTGCAGTTGCTGTTGTACGTGATTCAAGAGGTTGACCACGTGGAAGTTATGAGTCATTGTTATCATTATTTATGAATGATTCTGTTGGTTTAAAACATAATTTGTACAAGCAAAAGAACCACCCACATCGACATACATAAGCAAAAAAGATGCAGGGCATAGGTTGATTTTCTTGTATTCGGTCGACCTCGTACCAGATTAGGTCGACCACGAAACCGACACTTGATTTTCATTTTACGTCAAATGATGATGGATAAATGAATACAACACTTCTCTTCTATCTAGTCGACATCTTTCTGTAAATGGACGGCCATTTTGTTAATGACCGCCATCAAGTGGTCGACCTATATACCTTTACGGTCGACCATTTTGCTTCTGACGCCAATGAAAAGGGAGACCGATGTTTTATTGCGGTCGACAAACAATGA